TGTTTTCCTTCTCGCCTTTTTGCTTTCCGTAGTTTCTAGAGGCCTCGAGATGGTTGCGAGTTGGTTTGAACATGCTTTGAGAGGGGGCCATCAGGGCCCAAGTCGGCTCCAAGAGCACCAAAGAGCGGCCCAAAACACTTCAAGGGCGTCGCAAGAGGGCCGCATTTGGCGACTGGGGGGTTCGAGAAGGAATGGGGCGTTGCTAGGGCCCCACTTCTTTGACCGACGGCTTCAAGATGGCCCCAGGAGGGCCCCCGAGGCTTCCAAGAGGGGCCCAGGAGATCCCCGAAACGACCCGAAAAGGGCCCCAAGGGGCTCCAAGACAGCCGCCAAAGGCAGCCAACATTGCCCTAAGAGAGCGCCGCGGCGGCACCGATATGACGACGTTGATGGGGCGTCCCGCAGGCACCTAAAGCGAACGAGTCGAGATCCTCGATGATTGATGCCCGTCGTCGTCAGCGTGTTTTTTCCCTGAAAGGGCTCAGGCCCAGGGTTCTCTTTTAGTATGTAAACATAGTCCCCCGTGCCCAACTTGAAGGAGGCCGGCGGATTCTTTCCCTGATAAATATCGAGGTCGAAGGAGGCCGGCGGATTAAAATTTGAGGATGTCTCAGGCGAAGCGCTTGTTTTTGAAATCGAAATCCCGATCGATAAATCACAGGGTGCGGGGCACCTCAGCACGACCACACCCCGGCACGACCACGCCCCAGCACGACCACGCCCCAGCACGACCATACCGCAACACGACCACGCCCCAGCACGACCACTCCCCAGCGCGACCACACCCCAACACGACCACACCCCGCCACGATCACACCCCACCGCGACCACGCCCCAGCACGACCCGATCGATGAATCACAGGGCGCGGACCACCCCAGCGCGACCACACCCCAGCACGACCCCACCCCAGCACGACCGCACCCCAGCACGACCACGCCCCAGCGCGACCACACCCCAGCACGACCACACCCCAGCACGACCCCACCCCAGCACGACCCCACCCCAGCACGACCACCCCACGACCACACCCCAGCACGACCACACCCCAGCACGACCACACCCCAGCACGACCACCACCCCAGCACGACCCCACCCCAGCACGACCCCACCCTAGCAAGACCACACCCCAGCACGACCACACCCCAGCACGACCTCACCACAGCACGACCACACCCCAACACGACCGCGCCCCAGCACGACCACGCCCCAGCACGACCACGCCCCAGCACAACCACCCCCCAGCACGACCGCCCCCCCAGCACGACCACGCCCCAGCACGACCACCCCCCAGCACGACCGCACCCCAGCACGACCGCTCCCCAGCACGACCACACCGCCTTGGTTGAGTGGTTGCCTGTCGTCGTGGAATGTTTCGTGGGGTGTCTCGTGGAATGTTTCGCGGGGTGTCTCGTGGGATGTTTCGCGAGGTGTCTCGCGGAATGTTTCGTGAGGTGTCTCGTGGGGTGTTTCGTGAGGTGTCTCGTGGGATGTTTCGTGAGGTGTTGCCCCGTTGGGTATCGTGAAATCGTGCCCATGCTCCACATGTCTATATCCCTTTCCGGGTTTGTGGGTCTATCATGTTTCTTCTCTATCCTTTATCTTTCCCTTCCTTGTCCTCCTCCTCCTTTTCCCTCTTCGGTGACCTCCTCCTTTTTCTGCTCCATCCCCGTTCCTGTGCATCTTCCGATTAATTACTCCTGCGCCCTTTTCTTTTCCCTAATGTAACGGTTGTCCTCGTTTTTTCTTTGCGTTGCATGTTGCTTCACTTCGCTTTCATGCCTAGCGCAACTTGCTTGGGATTCGAGTCGGCCAATGCTTTCTTCTGCATGTTCTTGCCCCTCCTATTTCCTCCTACTTCCTCCTGCTCCTTGATCCTCCCACCTCTTCCTACACCCTCGCTGGTGAGGGCGCACGGCGCACGCGCGTTCCGCGCGGATCACTGGTGCGCCTTTTGTTTCCCTCAGGCTTCTTGTGCTTCTTCCTGCCTCCCCCGAGCTCCTCTTCCGTGTTCCTACCTGCTCATGCTCTTGCACGTTTCCAGTCTTTCCTATCACCATACTCCCTCTCTTCACCGTGTTCATTATGATTTTCATGCTCCGCCCTCCTCTCCTTTGCTCCGCTTCCTGCACCTCATCATCCGCGAACACGGATGCGGCTCGCTATTTTCGCCGCTTGCCCGATTACCCAGCCTTGATCAGGGCGACTCGCCTTGTGGTTGTTCGTGGATTGGCTCGTGAGGATTTGAGCAACGCGTTCATGACTTCACCGGGCGTCTAGGTGTTATTGTTGGCGTCTGGGCGTTGCCGCCGGGGTTTACCGCGGGCCAGTGTGATTAACAATTGCAAGCGGCGCGTTGGCAGGCATTCGCCTTCCTGGAGACATCTGTCTGGTTTCGCAGTGACCTTCTTTCGCGCTGCTCTTGTTTCTTTGCCTCCAGTTTGCGGCTGTATGTTTGTAGCCTTTGACTGAGCTCCATCAGACGGCTATAATTCCGCTGCCCTCGCTCGATGCGTGACCGTCCCCGCCGCAATGCTCGTGAACTTTCCGGTGGGCTGATCATTTGTGGTTTTGTCTGCAGTTGGACTGCGGGCGGAACGCGGGCGCCGCTTATGCAGTATTCCATTGTTCGTTTTCCTCTGAGGGCATCCGCAGTGGACTTTGCGCGCGCTTGTTTTTTTTTGTTGAGCATATCAGTTCGATCAGATTTGTCGTTGTTCGGCACGAGACCACTAACATGAAATTTGAAAAGGAAAAAATATCCACGCGTCCCTTCATAGCCCACGGCGAAGCCAAGCGATGCATCTCCGATTCCAGGTCGGCGTCTCCCCCCCCCCCCCTGAGCCCTTCCCCCCCCTCGACCGTTCCCCACCATCCTCTCCTGGAGGAGATGGTCGGGTCGGACGGCAGGGTGGGACCGGGAGGGACAGTGTACAGTGGAGACCCGTGCCAGGAAACACCCTGCTTGCCTCCACAGGGTGCCCTGGGCCTCTTTGGGTTTCGAGGGTTCTGCTACCCGCACCAGAAAGCGCGACGTTCCCACACAAGAAGTCAATGGACTTCCTGGGGCCTCAGGGTTGGGTTTCTTGTGGAAGGTTATGATGTTCCAACCCAACCTACTTCCAGCCTTGATCACCAAAAAGAATTTCGAGCACCAGAACAGTACGGAAACTCGAAGGTTTACACTTCGTCCGACATTGTTAAGACACAGTTTCGACCCTTCTCCTCGTGCTCGGAGTTATTTCTGGGATGTGGTCTTCAAGTACGATGAGAGCAACATGAGGTGCAGGCTGCCTGTGGACTGGCCCCCGCTGTGCGAGATCCGCTGCCTGCGGCCAGTCTGGGCCCCGCCCCGCCGCGGGGCGCTCGCCTCGGCACCATGGGGCGCTGCCGGCGACGGGAGGCGCCCTGGAGAGCCAGCCGCGTGTCGGCCACGCGCAGAGGGGGGTGGGTGTGGAGGTAGGGAAGCAACTCTCAGGCTAGGGGGGCAGATCGCATCGGCAATGTATATATATATATATATATATATATATATATGTATATATATATTATATATATATATATATATATATATATATATATATATATCGATGTGGCGCAGGATCGGCAGGCAGGTCGGGAGGCATCGGAAACGAGATCGACGTCCAGCGGCCCGTCGAGGCGTACACACGGAGATCCAAGAACTGAGGTCGAGCTTCGGAGCTGAATCGAATCGAGGGGGGAATCCTGGGGATCGAATGGATTCGAACAAACAGAAACGATATGCCTCCTGCCAGGGGCTGGCATAAAGGGGTATGGTGCCAATCGTGGAAATGGCGATGCTGTCTGCGATAAACAACATTGCCAGAGTCCCCTTTACGTGAAATCAACACCTTCACGTCTTCATACCACCCTTCCCCACCTCCAGGGCGGGCGGAGGGGGGAAGGCTTCTTAGAAGCACCCCTGCTTCTCAAGAAGGCGCGGGCTTCCTCGACAGGTGTAAGGCTGGCACCTTCTAACAACCAGCCTCCTTCTCAGAAGCCTTCCCCCCCTCCCCCAAGACCCCCTTGTGCGCGCCACCAGCCGTGAGTCGAGTCGCTAAGCCCCCCATTGCGATGCTCCCCCTGTCGAGGCCCCGACCCCGACCCTGGGCTGAGTTTGTCGGCCAGGATACACTGTTGATGGCCCAGGGGCCTGAGAACTGGCCCTGACCGAACTCCACGGAAACCACGCAGATTGAGAAAATTGGGTCGCCGGGTATCTGCTGAGATATTTGTGCGGGGATGCTAAGTGGACAGGGAGGTTATCGTGGGATGCCAAGGTGGGCTACAGCTGGCAAAGCCTAGCCTACACGTGAGTTGTCGCAAGTGCCTCAAGTGGTGCGGAGGGGTGAACAGTCCGTGCCAAGTGGGCTCTGTCCACTGAGCGGAGTCATCTTAGCCGTCCTGAGCCTTTTGGGGACATGTGCAATCCACTTAAATGCTATGTCAGGCCAGATATGACCCACCTTGGCATCCTCTGATGACCCCCCTATCCCTGTCAGCCCCTTCGCCGATACCAGCGAGGCTAAATTTCGGGCCTCGGAGGCCGACATCTAGAAAACAGCGCCCAGATGCAATGAAAGTCAGACCGTTGCACATCTTGAGGCGGAGCGCCGCCTGGTTGCATCTTCGGAGGACCTCTGCTGTGGTGTACATGCACCATTGTCTTGTACTCCGACGCGGAACCGACGTGGATTCGACACGGATTTGACACCGTTCGACACGGATCTTGGCGCGATGAGACATTTGAGGCCATCCATCCGCAGATGCCATCGAATTACACACCCCCACCGTGCCCGGCCAGGGCCACCCTGGGCCCCACGATGGTGTGTGCACCCTTCTGGCCTCGGCCACTGGCGGCCAGGAGGCGCAGACACCGTGACAGGGCCCGGGGTGGCCCTGGCCAGGAAGAGCGGTGGTGCACACGTCGATGCCCTCTGCGTGCCCCAGATGTACAACTTACGCCTCGCCGCTCCGCCAGGACAGATACTGGATGCACTGCCCCAAGGTGGCGCGCCCCAAGGCCGATCTCGAGGAGGAGCCCGCCGGCGCCCCGCCCGACGACGACGACGACGACGACGACGAGGTGCCCCTGCGATCCTGGCATGTCAATGTTGTTCGTGCTTGGCGTTTTCGCACAGTTTCGGACCCCAGGAATCCCAGATGTCGATCGGGCTTTAAGATCGGTGCGGGAGGATGGGGTGCGGGGCTCTAGTCGTGATCGTTCACGACACTGCAACGTGTTCGTCACGTCGGATCTCAGGGGAACTCGGCCTGGAGGCTTTTGCACGTCTTTCTGCTTTCTGTTGTAGCCTCCAGCGCCGCGGCTGTGCCCGCCCCGAGTGTCCAGTCCTGGCCGCTGCCTGGGGCGGGCCTGGGGGGCCGACGTGGAAGGGGGTGGGCCAGAGGGTGCGTCCAAGAGGAGGGTACCGACGAGCACAGCCACGACTCGGTACGGTCCACATGCGTACGGGGATAACGGGTGCGAAGACCCGCAGCACCCCCTGTTCGTTTTGGACTGACGTCGCTGTCGGTGTCGCCGCGGGCGCGGTCCATTCGAGACAGAAGGGCCGCCTGCCCTTAACGGCGGCCGCTGCCGGTTTTAGATCATGCATTTGCCGTTGGGCATCGTACCCATTTTTATCCGAGCCCGTGTCTCAAGCAGTGACGAAGCGTACTGGCTCGCCGATAGGCCCGCCTAATAATGTTCTGAGAACCTCTCGTGGTTTGCACGGCATGTTCTTGGAACCTTTCTGGCGGAGTCTGCCTTCTTTTCACACATCGGGCTTCTGTACAACATTCTTGGGCTCTGAAAGCGCGTCGCGGTAGGCCTAAAGGCATGCCGGGACGCCAGGTCCCTGCTCGGCTGTAGGGCGTCTAAAACAACGACGACGTCTGGGGAAACCAGGAGGTACCGATACCGCCACGCCCTGGACCTCTCCCGGCGCGCGTTCGGGCCAGGGCCTCGGGGCAAATCCGACGGTGGCGACGAGGGCCGCCCTGGAGGCCCCCCAAAAGGGGAAAGCGAGGGAAGGGTAGAGGGATGGGTTCCTTCAGGAGGGAAGGAAACACACAGACACAATTAATCGTCGAGTTCCAGGAAGATATGGGAAAATATGGGAGTTGGGCGGGAAAACCAAACCCCATAAAATATAGGAAAATATAGGGAATGATTATATGTGTGTGCATTTATTTGTGTGTCCCAGGGTCCCTTCTATGTTGCCAAAGTCGTTTCCAGATGTCTAAAATATGTGTGAAACATGTTTCCAACATGTAAAAACCATGTTGTAAACATGTTTAGGTCATGCTCCTACATTTTGAATCACATTTGAAATTCCATGATCGGACCGTTGGAGTGTCCATTGTCGTGGCATCCACAACTTTAGCCGTGATCGCCAGAAAGAGCATCGAGCATCAAAAAGTACCCAAACTCAAGGGTGTTCACATGTCGGGCCCTGGGAGACACTCGTTCGACACTGTTTCGACACTTGCTTGACACTTTTCCGGGTGCTCGAACTTATGTCTGGGAGATTGTCCTTAAAGTGTGTGTGTGTGTGAAGTCCGCGCATATCGCCATTCCATCGTCACATACCGCTACTGTATCGGCTCAGGTATTGGCGTACATTGACACAGTGCGCTGCCCACCGCGTAGCGCCCAGGAGAAGGAGCTCCTACGATCCCATGAATCCTCCGGAGTTCCCAGCGCTTTCTGCTACGACAGCTTGCCTCCAAACAGTGTCAGACAGGGATCTCTTGGGAGTTGAAGTCCTAGGGCCGCGCTCGATGCTTCTGAACCTTTCCAAACACTCGAACCAGACCTCCAAAAATGTCCAAGGGGCCTCCCAGCAGTCGGTTCAGGCTTTGGAGCGCAAAGAGCAACGAGACGCTGCACCTGGCGGGGCCTGACACCAGTGATCTGCATCAACTGGTACATCAGCGAGGCGACAACAAGGCTCTGGTCGCAGAGCAATGGCATATAGTTGGGATGTCAGCCATCAGGCACGCAGCGTTGCTCTTGAACGTCCTGGAGCAAGCACGAATGATGTCAGCCTCGGGTCGCTTACCTGCTGGGATCCCGCCTTGGACCAGCTCGAATGGGTCGCGTGCTTCGTCAGTAGCCGCCCGCACTGTCTTCCAGAGGCTTCTTTGGTGCTCTAAACGGGCCCGCAAAGTGATGCTGTGGAGTAGAATCTTGATCTCCCAGTCGGTTGGCTGAACTGGGCTTGCTGGGGGGCCGGGGACTTCTACCCATTCGAGGAACCCGTGGGCCTCCCGAGCCGCAAACTCTTCAACAGCTTGAACGCACCATTCTTTCCATCCTGCCCCATCGAGCTGGCCCCCAGGCAAGAACACGCAGTTGTTGAAATCCTTGGCGAACTGGGGAACATCCGCGAGGACATTGTGGGCCTCCTCAGGGCCGATCATGAGTGGTGTGCCCGAACCATTCAACATCGTGTGCCACATGATCCCCCGGTACCCCCGAAGATCCGAAATGGGCCTCCAGATTTCTGCATGTTCGCGAGCTGCTTCGCCAGGATCCCGAGATACCCATTGGCGCATGGGGCGCTGCCTTTGCTGAGCAAACTGGAAATCCCCCCAGGGCGGCCCGCCGCCCAGCCAAGTGCTCTGGGGGATTGGGCAAAAGATCCGCGACGCATCGCCAGCACTCTGGAGAGAAAACGTTCTTCTTACACCATGGGTAGTCCTCTGTGCACACCTACAGGGGATTCGCCTGCGGCCTCCTTGAGCTCCGCCCAAGCGATCTCGTTCCACTTGGGGAAGGCAGCGTTGATCACCGAGATGGCTTCGCCTCGAGCGCCCCCCTCGAGCGCGACGCGCCCGGCGTCTACTCCTCCTAGTTGGCGGAAGAGGTTCCAGTGCAGCTTTGTAATCAGGTGGTCCCCGTTGGGGCCCAATAAGAGGTACCGCGGGGGGCTTCTGGTGCGCCTTGGGGCCTGGATGTCGACGCCTTTGTTGTTTACCCCTATCTTGATAAACGCCGGCCGATGGGGCGTCAGGGGGGCTGAGAGGTCTGCGGTGATCTCCTCAATCACCGCATCCAGACGACGGTGCACAAGGAAAAAGTCAATCGTGCCCCCCCTTGCATTGCCGTCCACCAACGACAAGCACGAAGGGGCCCTCGAATCAGCACGCGCCGCGCCGTTGATGGGGTGCACTGGGAAGGCCAACGTCACGGCGTGAGGTGAGGGATTGAAATCCCCACTGAGGACGCATGGGAATCCTCGCCGTGCAACTGCAGTCCCAAACTTCTCCTGGATGTTAATGTTCCGTGGCGAGGGCCCTTCACTGTCGCGTGGGTGGAGGAGGTATATACCCATGCGCCCACGGCTGTGGCGTTGCATGTAGCAGTAGCACAGGCGTCCAGGCACCGGAACAGGATCACTACACGAGGCTTCCAAGTGACCCTTCGACAGGATTATCGCACCTCCTGAAGCTTTCCCATAATCCAATGCCGAACACTCTACAGCCATCCTTCCGAATGCGATCTCCTACCTCATCATACTGCTGAGTCAGACGGCGTTCCTGCAGGCCGGTGACATCCCCGAGGGAGGACAGGCGGGGTCGGAGTCTCTTGGCCGTCCGCCAAGAATTGACAATGCAAGAAACAATCGAAAAGAAGGTGGCTTTGCCTCCCGAGCCTCACGATCGAGTCCACGTCGGCGTGGGGAGTGCTTCGCTTGGCGAGCTGGTGGCACCTCGACTCGAGCAGCGCCCCCAGGGTGGAGTCGCTCAGCCAGTTGGACTCCTCCTAGAAGCTGGTCTCGAATAGCAGGCAGGCCACCTTTCTTGAAGATGTTGTATGTCGATCGAGCTGTTAGCCAGCATCATCTTTGCCCAAGACTCACATGATCCCTCCAGCTGTTCATCATATGGTAGTGTGACCTCGTTGAGCCGAGCAAAGAAAATGTGGAAGCAGCCAACTTCTTTCCGCATCTGCTACGCCCTTAGTGGGCCCTGGAAACGACAGGGCCGTTTTTGGTACCGGTTCCGTTTTGTCGTTTTTTTGCCGGTTCCGACGCAGTTTTTTAACCGTGGCACATCCGAGTTCAGCTCCATGCCCCTGTTCACGGGTGTTCGTCATCACCCACCAAACGACCCCAACCCAACCCGAAGGCCTCAATCTTCCCTCCATTTCCAGTGGGGGGGGGTCGGGGGACATTGAAAAAACACATGGAACCCGTACCCCCCCCGAACCCGAATTTCGGGTCAAATTCGGGTCTTCGGGTTGAGTTGGGGTGGTCTGGTAGGTAGTCAGTTCGCGTCGGGGCACATCTCGGAGGCGTCTCCGTGCGCCTGACGCCGTGCCCGGAGCGCTCCGTGGTGGTGGTGGCCATCAGCGGGAGCTGCACCGATGTCCTCCGCAACCTGCCTGCAAAAAATAGGACTGCGGCGCTGCGGCCGCCTCTGACTTGCCTTGGCTGGCCTTGGATGTGGTCGCGAGGGCCTCCTGGGCCTCGGACCTTGGGTCGTGGATGACCTTGCCTTGCCCTTGCCGATGCCGACGACCCCCGCGACCGCGTGAGCCTGTTCCACGGTCGGCGCGGCGGGCTGGTCAGACCCTGAGGCACTGGTCTTGGCTCCTCCGCTGCCGTCGCCTTCTTGCTTTTTTTCAGCTCTTTGACCTGGAGGCGCTCCTCGACCTTCTCGCGTTCGGCCTTGAGCTTCTCCGCCTTGACGCGGGCTGCCTCGAACAGCTCGCGCGCCCGCCAGCTTGGTGAGCTCCTCGGACAGCTGAGATTGTCTTTTCTTAGCCTGTTCCAGGTCAGCTGGGTCCACATCCTCGTAGTCCGCCAGGCCGAACGGAGTGGAAGCGCCGCTAAGGAGATGGTGGCGTGTCCGTCGAACACCTCCTCAAGGCTGACCGGCTGACCGACGCCCCCCCTTTGTTAGCAGCACCAGGCTGTGGTTGTTGGGAGGATAGGACCACCTCGTCGTGTAGCTCCTGGACGGCCTTCGTATACTGAGCGTCGGCCTCTGAGAGACGCTCTTGGGTATCCTCGACCTTGGACCGCTGCAACTCGAGCTTGGCCTGGATGGCTGAGAGTTGTTCCACTTGGTCGTCCAGCTGGCGCTCGAGCTTCTTGACCTCCTGGCCGTACCGATAAGCACAGGTTGTGTCGGGCTCGGGCGGCTTGGACAAGGACGATCTGCATGCCAATTCGTACTGCTTGGCAACCTGCACGTTACCCGACTTGCGAGTGAAGTCGAAGAGCTGTTTGAACCTCCTCGCTTGACATCTTGTCGATGGATGGCAGGGCGCCAGGAGGAGCCACGTCACCAGAAGGAACAGGAGTCCAACGCCCAAGACCTTTGTACTTGGCGCCCTTGCCATCCTCGTGGTTGTGGACATCCCTTTTGGTTCTGGTATACAAAATCTTCCAGTATCGGCCGCAATGCTTGCAGTTGTACATATTGAGCGTGTTCTTTCCGCAGCCGCACGCGTCACATTGCCACCTGGCATACTGCCCAGCACTGTGCCGCCAGGGTGCCTCCGACACCATACACTTGCTGAACGGCGAGACTGGAGAGAGAGACCCGTCTCGAGCAATGGAGTCCACGGCCGCACGAGGGCTCACCGTGGAGAACATGACATGGAAATCCTGAGGGCGGCTCGCCTCGAGCCAGCCCCTCGGCAGCGATCAAGCACGAAGCCGCAGGGCACGGTTCCGTACTTGAGCCAAAATGGCTACGGACTGCTCCCTCCCTCCTCCTCTCCTCCCTCCTCCTCCTCCTCCTCCCTCCTTCCTCCTCCTCCCTCCCTCCTCCCTCCCGCCTCCTCCTTTGGCCGTTCGTCTCCTTCCCGGGAAGGGGAGGGGGGAGAAAGGGGGGGGGAAGGGAAAAAGAGGTGGATCTGTAGATGGCATCAGACAAACTATATAACCATGAATCTTGGACGGTCCGCGCGGACTTCCTTTCTTTGATCGGCGCTCGCCCCCCCCCTCCCTGGCGCGCGGAGCGCGCCTGGGGCGGCGCCGGAGGCGCCGCCGAGGGGGGGCCAGCGGAGACCCGAGAAATCCGCAGGTATCGTCGAACGTCTGTCTTCATGCAGTTACTTTTTCCAAACCAACCTGTGGTGTTGGGTCCTCGTTTTGAAGAGACGGTGGCCCGCGTCTCCTCTCCTCCTCTCCTCCTCCTCCTCCCCCTCCTTCCTCCTCCCTCCTCCCACCATCATCATCGTCATCATCATCATCATCATCATCATCGTCGTCGTCGTCGTCGTCGTCGTCGTCGTCGTCGTCACCGTCATCATCATCTTCGTCATAATCCTCACGACCGTCCTCATCACCATCATCGTCATCATCATCGCAGTCATCGCCACGATCACCTCTCACACGTTCCGTGGCCCCATAGGGAGCTCCACCGAAGGTCCCAGTGGGTGTGCCCGCATGCGTCCCGCACACCCATATCGGCACACCCCTCACACGCTTCGTGGCCCCATACGGAGCTCCACCGAAGTTTCCAGTGGGTGTGCCCGCATGCGTCCCGCACACCCATTTCGGCACACCCCTCACACGTTTCGTGGCCCCATAGGGAGCTCCACCGAAGGTCCCAGTGGGTGTGCCCGCATGCGTCCAGCACACCCATTTCAACACACCCCTCACACGTTTCGTGGCCCCATACGGAGCTCCACCGAAGGCCTCAGTGCGTGTGGCCGCATGCGTCCCGCTCACCCATTTCGGCACACCCCTCACAAGTTTCGTGGCCCCATACGGAGCTCCACCGAAGGTCCCAGTGGGTGTGCCCGCATGCGTCCCGCACACCCATTTCGGCAAACCCTTCACACGCTTCGTGGCCCCATACGGAGCTCCACCGAAGGTCCCAGTGGGTGTGCCCGCGTGCCTCCCGCACACACATTTCGGCACACCCATCACACGCTTCGTGGCCCCATACGGAGCTCCACCGAAGGTCCCAGTGGGTGTGCCCGCATGCGTCCCGCACACCCATTTCGGCACACCCCTCACACGTTTCGTTGCCCCACAGGGAGCTCCACCGAAGGCCCCAGTGCGTGTGCCCGCATGCGCCCCGCACACCCATTGTGGCACACCCCTCACAAGTTTCGTGGCTCCATACGGAGCTCCACCGAAGGTCCCAGTGGGTGTGCCCGCATGCGTCCCGCACACCCATGTCGGTAAACCCTTCACACGTTTCGTGGCCCCATACGGAGCTTCACCGAAGGTCCCAGTGGGTGTGCCCGCATGCGTCCCGCACACCCATTTCGGCACACCCCTCACACGCCCACACATGTCGTTTCAACCAGTAGCAGGCCATCTCAGTTTCGGCCGTTGAGCGCACAGCATATGGCGCAACTACTAGTCTGGCCTCGCGCCGCGGACGACCCGCGCGCGTCGCTGGGACCATCTCGGGGCGACCAGCGTGCGTCGTGGGAACTCCGTGCTGCGTCCTGCCCAGCGCCTCGCTCGCCCGTCGTCGCTCTGCCTAGCGACCAGCGCCTTGTCCGCTGTCAGCCAGCCAGCTAGCTCTTTTTGCTCCGCGCAGCGGGCGACCCGCGCGCGTCGCTGGGACCCCTCCAGGGCGACCTGCGCGCGTCGCGGGGACTCCGCGCTGCGCTGCGTCCGCAGCTTTGGATTATTGGAGTGCGCAGGCAAAGAGGGAGGAACAAAAAGGGACGGAAGCGGGTGCGATCCTCGTGAGGGGCGTGCCGACATGGGCGTCGCGGCGCGCGGGCGCTGCCATCGGGGTTCCCGCGGAAGCTGCCTGCGGCGGCCACGCTCAGTGTCACGAGTGGTCGGACAGGCATGCCCGAACCATTCACATCCATATACATGTACATTAGGCGTAGCCATGATCGCATCCACGCAAATATACTCACCCTCACGCAGACTCATTCACACTCAGGCTCAGTCACGCTCTGACTCACCCGCGTTCAGTCTCTCGTACTTCGACCTGCCGTATTCGTTTTGCGTTGTGTGCCCCGCCACACGTCGGCACACCTCTCACACGGTTCGTGGCCCCATAGGGAGCGCCACCGGATAAGATATTCACAATTGCGGTACTCGCAACTGCATATGGTTGGGTCCTTCGCCCGGCTAATTATTTTAGGGCCCTGTTGCTCCCAGTGTACTGAGGATCCACATCCCAGAAATAATGTCGAACTCCCGGAAAAGTGAAACCGCCCAGTTTCGGTACTTTCCTGGTGCCCGAAATTCTTGCTGGTGGTCAAGGCTAAAGTGGGTTGGAACAGCATGAGTCTTCATGCAGCTGCTTCTTCCTCGGGTGGGAGGGCGGCCCTCCCCGCAGAGGCCCGCAAGACGACCTTGGGAACGAACGGAACGCCTGCTCGGCCGAGCCGCATCCGTCGCTCAGTGGAGCGACTCCCGAGCGGCCCCCCCCGTTGCGCTCTTTGATACTACAAGCTCGAAGCCGCCAGGATGTCCCTGCTCCTCCTCCTCCTCCTCCTCCTCGTCCTCCTCCTCCTGTCCTCCTCCCAGACTCGGACCCCCCCCTTGCGCAGGGCCTCGCCTCCTGCTCCCTTACCCTTACGTCGGGCATGTCCCTCTTCAGGAGGAGTATTCAACAGTAGTACAAAACAATAGTCTTGGGACGATGTTTCTAGTATGTTCATTTTTTTGTCGCCCATAATCAGCCTGTATGGGGGCATGCCCGGTCCAACCCTACCCTCCCGCCCTTTGAGCCCTTGGTGCAGGAACAGTTCCTCAAACCCGAGGGCGCCGACGGGGTCGGCCCGACGACTTTTTGATGCTCTTCTTTTTGTGGTGTTTGCTCCCTTTCTCTCTCTCTCTCTCGCTATCTGCATGTCTTTCTCTCTCTCTCTCTCTCTCTCTCCCTATATATATCTATATATCTACCTATATATAACTATCTATCTATATATCGATATAGCTATATATATACATACATATATCTATCTATATATATGTTCATATATAGCTATACATCTACATATGTGTATCATACATCAATCTATATATACGTATATCTATATATTCATCTATATTTATACCAATATATATATATGTATTGGTATATAGATATGTTCGCTCATTGTTACTCCTTGCTCCTCTCTCTCTCTCTCTGTTCATCGGAGATCGGGGGGGAGTTCTAACACCAGGAGATCAGTGTTCTTGTCGCGCGTGCGAGGCAAAGGCTTCGTGAGCATGCAAGAGAGGTCCACCCGCCGTGGCTAGGGCAAAACCGAGCTCAACGACTCTACGCCCCCCGGTTTGCAGCCAGTGGCTCGGGGATGTCCCGCCAGGGTCTCGTGGTGGCCCGAAGCGCCCCCTCCCTTGCGCGCGGAGCGCGCCAGGGACGGTGCAGGAGGCGCCGCCGGGGTGCCCAGGCGCGAATCCGAGGAATCCGCGCGGAGCGTCAAAAGTTTATGGTTTGTCTTTTGTTTCTTCTTCGAGTGGTGTCCCGCGAGGTCGATAGTGAGCACTTTTGTGAGATCCATCGATCGTGAGATCGACAGGTAGATCGAGAGTGACATCGGTAGATGGCCAAGCAGGTTCTCCGTGGTGCCCAGCCGGTTTCCGCCGAATCCGATCCGACTCCAATCGCACACCGAAAGCACATCCTTATCCTCTGAAGGGTGGTTGTACGTATAGGGTTTTTTGTTGTTTGTTCTCTCTCTCTCTCTGTCTCCTCGAGGTGGGCGACATGGAGAAGGGGATCCTAGGTGGAAGGTCTTATGTTGTGTGTCGTCAATTTCGGGCTCTCGGGCAGTTCACAGGCCCCAGAGACTATCAGACAACAACTCGGGATAAAAAACCCAGTCCTGGGAGGAGACTTGAAGTCCAGGACTCGCTTCCTTCAGAACCCTCTCTCCAAATGGCAGTATGGGTAGGCAAATTGTGAAGCTACGGTATACTGCACGTTCGCGTCGTCACGGCGACGACCCTCCGCGGGCGTTCAAGTTTGAACACCGCCAGTGTCCCGGAACGGGGTGATATTGTTCAGTCGGGCCTGTCCCTCTACAGGGGAAATAGTCAAAAATAGTAAAATAATGGTCTGGGGACGATTTTTCCCAACCAACCTGTGTTGTTGGGTCCTCGTTTTGAAGAGACGGTCCCGGCGTCCTTCCTTCTTCCTCCTCCCGCTGCCTCCTCCCCATCCTCCCTCCTCCCACCATCATCATCGTCATCATCATCATCGTCATTATCGTCGTCATCACCCATTTCGGCACACCCCTCACACGTTTCGTGGCCCCATAGGGAACCCCACCGAAGGCCCCAGTGCTGCCGCCTGCATGCGTCCCGCACACCCATTTCGGCACACCCCTCACACGTTTCGTGGCCCCATAGGGAGCTCAGCCGAAGGTCCCAGTGGGTGTGCACGCATGCGTCCCGCACACCCATTTCGGCCCACCCCTCACACGTTTCGTGGCCCCATAGGGAGCTCCACAGGGCCCCAGCGCTGCCGCCCGCATGCGTCCCGCACACCCATTTCGGCATACCCCTCACACGCTTCGTGGCCCCATAGGGAGCTCCACCGAAGGCCCCTTTGCTGCCGCCCGCATGCGTCCCGCACACCCATTTTCGGCACACCCCTCACGTGGCCCCATCTGGAGCTCCACCGAAGGCCCCAGCGCTGCCGCCCGCATGCGTCCCGCACACCCACTTCGGCACACACACCCCTCACACACTTCGTGGCCCCATACGGAGCTCCACCGAAGGCCCCAGCGCTGCCGCCCGCATGCGTTCCGCACACCCATTTCGGCCCACCCCTCACACGCTTCCTGGCCCCATAGGGAGCTCCACAGGGCCCCAGCGCTGCCGCCCGTATGCGTCCCGCACACCCATGTCGGCATACCCCTCACACGTTTCGTGGCCCCATAGGGAGCTCCACCGAAGGCCCCAGTGCTGCCGCCCGCATGCGTCCCGCACACCCAGTTCGGCCCACAACTCACACGTTTCGTGGCCCCATACGGAACTCCACCGAAAGTCCCAGTGGGTGTGCCCGCATGAGTCCCGCACACCCCTCATACGTTTCGTGGCCCCATAGGGAGCTCCACCCGAGGTCCCAGTGGGTGTGCCCGCATGCGCCCCGCACACCCAATTCGGCACACCCCTCACACGTTTCGTGGCCCCATAGGAGCTCCACCGAAGGTCTCAGTGGGTGTGCCCGCATGCGTCCCGCACGCCCATTTCGGCCCACCCCTTACACGTTTCGTGGCCCCATAGGGAGCTCCACCGAAGGTCCCAATTGGTGTGCCCGCATGCGTCCCGCACACCCATGTCGGCCCACCCCTCACACGTTTCGTGGCCCCATAGGGAGCTCCACCGAAGGTCCCAGTGGGTGTGCCCGCATGCGTCCCGCACGCCCATTTCGGCCCACCCCTCACACGTTTCGTGGCCCCATAGGAGCTCTGCCGAATGTCCCAGTGGCACAGTCCGCATGCGTCCCCGCCACACATTTCGGCCCACCCCTCACACGTTACGTGGCGTCATAAGGAGCTCCACCGAAGGTCCTAGTGGGTGTGCCCGCATGCGTCCCGCACACCCATGTCGGCCCACCCCTCACACGCTTCGTGGCCCCATAGGGAACTCCACCGAAGGTCCCATTGGCACAGTCCGCATGCGTCCCCGCCATTCATGTCGGCACACCCCTCACACGTTTCGTGGCCCCATAGGAGCTCCGCCGAAGGTCACAGTGGCACAGTTGTCCCCGTGGCACGGTCCGCATGCGTCCCGCACACAAATTTCGGCACACCCCTCACACGTTTCGTGGCCCCATAGAGAGCTCCGCCGAAGGTCCCCGTGGCGCAGTCCGCATGCGTCCCCGCACACATTTCGGCACACCCCTCACACGCCTCGTGCCCCCATAGGAGCTCCGCCGAAGGTCCCCGTGGCACAGTCCGCATGCGTCCCGCACACCCATGTCGGCCCACCCCTCACACGCTTCGTGGCCCCAGAGGAGCTCCGCCGAAGGTCCCAGTGGCACAGTCCGCATGCGTCCCCGCTACTCATTTCAGCACACCTCTCACACGTTTCGTGGCCCCATAGGGAACTCTTCGAAGGTCCCCGTGACGCAGTCCGCATGCGTCTCCCTCACCCAGTACAGCGCTTCGTGGCTCCACATGGAGCCCCACCGAAGGTCCCAGCCAGCCAGCTACCTTTCTTCGCTCCGCGCAGCGGACGACCCGCGCGCGTCGCTGGGACCCCTCCGCGGCGACCAGCGCGCGTCGCAGGGACTCCGTGCTGCGTTCTGCCCAGCGCCTCGCTCGCCCGTCGCCGCTCTGCCCAGCGGCAAGAGCCTTGCCCGCTATCAGCCAGCCAGCTAGCTCTCTTTGCACCGCGCAGCGGACGATCCGCGCGCGTCGCTGGGACCCCTCCGGGGCGACCTGCGCGCGTCGCGGGGACTCCGCGCTGCGCTGCGCCCGCAATTTTTGACTTTTGAGTGCGCGGGCAAAGAGGGAGTAAGAAAAGGGGAACAAGCGGGCGCGATCCTCGCGGTGGGGCGCGCCGACATTGGCGCCGCGGCGCGCGGGCGATGCCGTCGGGGAGTCCCGGGGAAGCTCTTTGTGGTGGCCACGCCCAGCGTCACGAGTATTCAGAGAAAGTCATTTTCAAAGTATTGACAGTCATATTCAAGTGAACAGTGCTTTGTCAGACTCGCATGAATGCACGTATACTCGCTCGCACGCGGATCAATTCACAGTCAGACGCACTCGCGCTCAGATTCACCCGCGCTCAGTCTCCCTACGTACTCAGATCAATCATTTTCGTTCGCGTTGTGTACCACGCCAGTCATTTCGGCACACCCCTAGCACGGTTCGTTGCCTCATAGGGATCGCCACCGACAAAGTGAATCATTATTGCGGTACCCGCACCTGCATGTGGTTGAGCCCCTCGTCAGGCTAATTTGATTTTTTCCCAACCATCCTGTGGTGTTGGGTTCCCGTTTTGAAGGGACGTCGCCCTGCGTTCCTTCCTTCCTTCCTTCCCGCTGCCCCATCCCTCCTCCCTCCTCCATTTCGGCACACCCCTCACACGTTTCGTGGCCCCCTAGGGAGCTCCGCCGAAGGCCCCAGTGCTGCCGCCCGCATGCGTCCCGCACACCCAATTCGGTACACCCCTAACACGTTTCGTGGCCCCATAGGGAGCTTCACCGAAGGCCCCAGCGCTGCCGCCCGCATGCGTCCCGCACACCCATTTCGGCCCACCCCTCACACGTCTCGTGGCCCCATAGGGAGCTTTACCGAAACTCCAGTGTTGCCGCTCGCATGTGTCTCGCGTACTCATTTTGGCATACCCCTCACACGTTTCGTGGCCCCATAGGAGTTCCGCCGAAGGCCCCTTTGCTGCCGCCCGCATGCGTCCCGCACACCCAGTTCGGCACACCACTCACACGTTTCGTGGCCACATAGTGAACCCCACCGAAGGCCCCAGTGTTGCCGCCCGCATGCGTCCCGCACGCCCAATTCGGCACACCCCTGACACGTTTCGTGGCCCCATGGGGAACTCCACCGAAGATTCCCGTGTTGCCGCCTGCATGCGTCCCGCACACCCACTTCGGCACACCATTCACACGTTTCGTGGCCCCAATGCCGCCGCCCGTATGCGTCCCGCACACCCACTTCGGCACACCCCTCACACGTTTCGTGGCCCCATAGGGAGCTCCACCGAAGGCCCCAGTGCCGCCGCCCGCATGCGTCCCCCCCCCCCCCCCACACACACACACACACACACACACATATTCACACACACACACACACTTCGG